CTGAGGCGCACTGAAAGTAGTTCATGCGCAACTGGAGTCGGATATAATAAATATTCATAGAGATATATATCAGTATTGTATTTATAAATACATAATTAGGCTATTCGTGTGATAACATACTTTCAGGGATCATTTCTAGAGCATGCATCGCCATCATATATTTACGTCAGGTAAAGCTGACAGTCTACAAACCACGAGGACGATATGTTCTGCTTCTTTTGGGAAATGAAAAGATTAGCATATAAAAGAATCAATACATCATATTTGCATGATTACTCTAGCATGACGGGCGGTAAGGTGGTCTGGTGGTCAAACCTATCCATGGAGAACACCTGTACAGGGTTCTGACAGACTGGCGGCGAATGTTGTCCAGTGATGAGTCAAGATTTATTCTCTAACGCCGAGATGAAAGACGAAAAATAAGTTTTGCATAAAACCGGGTTCGAAACGACACATTGACCAAATTTTCAGCGTCAGCTTTTTCCGATTATCAACCACCAGAGGGAGGGGTTTCAAGATGACAACAGAACACCACACACAGGTAGTGTCAATGTTGGCTGTATTCACTGAGTCATTATGGAACCGTGTTCATCCGGGTTAGAATTGGTCTTCAGCAACCCATGCTAGTCGTAAGAGGCGACTAACGGGATCGGGTGGTCAGGCTCGCTGACTTGGTTGACACATGTCATCGTATCCCAATTGCTTAGAACGATGCTCACGCTGTTGACCACTGGATTGTCTGATCCAGACTCGATTATTTACAGACCGCCGCCATATTAAATATTTACAGATCAACCCGCTGGAATATTGCCGAGTGCAGCGCTAGAGAACAAACTAACAGGTACCAAACTGATAGCATGCCGTTCACAACTGCTCCTCGTAATCAACACAGAAATAGAACCAATAAAAATCATATACACAACTCCTAGGTAATATATACATACAAATCACTTACAACCGATGACAGTTTCGTTTTACGCATTATAGTTGGAAATTGCAACAGTTTAATGCTGCATTAAACTATAATGTACCGGTGAATTGCACTTTAAAGAAAAATGTAAATCGAATAAAGTGAAATTAAGATTGCGAATCCTCATAATTCTACCTTGTCAATGAACATTTAAATCTTAGATTTGTATTCAACTTAGGAAAAAAGTTGTTCAACAAACGATCATAGTTTCAAATCGCTTATATTGGTTTGTATTACAAGGGGGTAAGCGCAGTAGTTGGAACAGTGAAACAAATGCACGTGCGGTACGTGATGAGCGTTAGGTTAGACCAACCCTCCTTGTTCTCGGTGTTTCATTTAATGTGCATAACCCTCTCTGAGTGTCATCCTCTCATAATCCCCCACAGTCTCATCATATACATCTATATATACACATTGTCATCCATCATCATCATTTCATGCTGTGTTCTTTATATGTTGTCCTTGTCTGCAGTTGAATGTCAGCCCACTAACATCTTCAGTCTTGAATACCCTTAGCAGCCTCTGATTTCTCCAGCTTCACCTGGACTTCCCCTTCTCTATTTTTAGACACTTACACCACCTAATATAACTGTCCAGCATCTGTCTTCCTTTGACACCTGTCAGATGCTACCTGTCTTTTGATTGGCCTGTTGGTCCTCTTCTCTGAACTTCCTTTCTCACCTGCCCTCCTCATGCATTCTGCATGAACTCTTATAGGAGGGAGGTTCTCTCTTTTTTTCAGGTGAGAAATATTTCAATATTCTTATTTCTCTGTACTTTGTTCTGGAAACTATTTATTAAAGGGTATCTCAGTACTTCATAATAATAAAACATATTTAAATACAATATTATTTCATATATACTGAGTCAAAAAAGAAACTTCACATTCTTTATTCAGGGCACTATACAAGAGCAAGAGATGGTAAGATGGTTAAATTGTTATTATTTCATTGCTGAGATCTGTGTGATGTACTCGATACACTGACAGTGCCATAATCAGTTCCATTAGGCTACACCGCCGTTCCAAAACATGGGTATACAGAATGTCAAGTCACAAGAATAAAAATTCGAAATTTCTCATTTGAATATTGTGTATGGCCGCCCCGCGCATTCACCACTGCCAAACACCGTCTCCTCATCGACTTCCTGATGCTTGTGAACACGTGGTTGGGGATTCTGCGCCATTGCTCTTGCAAGGCAGCGCCAAGTTCCTGCAAATTCTGAGGTTGGTTCCTAAGACCACGAAGCCTTCTCCCAAGTGCATCCCAAACGTGCTCTATTGGTTTAAGGTCAGGGGACCCCGATGGACAGTCCATGACGTTGATTCAAGCGTTTTTGAAGCAAATTTCGTGTCAACATCGCGGTATGCGGCCGAGCATTATCATGCTGGAACTGTAGACCTGGGCCATGAGCCGCCATGAAAGGAACGTGTTCAGGGGTGAGCACCTGGTCGCGGTAAGCAGCAGCTGTGAGGTTTCCACGGATGACCAAAAAGTCGGGAACGGTTGTTCCCACATAAAGCACCCCACACCATGAAACTTCCGCCCCCGAATCTGTCGACTTCCTGTACACAACATTGGGCATACCGTTCACGACGTCGACGTCGTCTCCAGACTCTATGCCTGCCGTCCGCGAATCTGAGGGTAAACCTGAGGGCTAACGTTTTTCTAGAGTCGAAAGATAGGGATCCCATTTCGGATACATAGATGTATCATCTGAGAAAAAATTTCATTATTTTTAAAAATTACATTTTGTGAAGTTTCTTTTTTGACTCAGTATATTATCTAAATATTTACCAGCTATGGCATACTTTGTAAATCTGACTGAGCAGGTGGTCATCAATCATGCGCTACAGCAATGTTAAATATTTGGCTTAAATTTTATACATTCTGCATGAACTCTCATACGAGGGAGGTTTTCTTTTCAGCCTACCTCCAAACTTTGACCACAAATACATTCATCCTTCATAAATAACTACGTTATGAAAAGCAGCCCAGTGGCTGGACATTACCTACTACCCGGCTACATATGCACATGAATAAAATACAAATGTTATCTAATGTTGCATAATGAATGGTAGTAAGGTAAACATAAACGTGAAAAGATTAAAATACATTTACATACACCTCTAAAAATGCATTAACGACAGTAATACATATTGAGACAATTCCTTCTCGCAACGAGACTAAAATGGCAGGTTCTGGCAGCTTCAAAACATAAAATAGGGGTGGACAAAATAAAAACCTAGTTTGCTTGTTTCGCAGAGGCTAATAAAATCGGATTCGGCATCTTCACATATCGATAGAAGATGTAATCGATCATATATGTTGTCCTTGGACAAATGATAATGTAAGCACATAGTTGTTGGTACATGCAGAGCAGCTGAAAAACAGCTTAAAATGCCAAACAGTCCCGCGCTTTGAAACTTGCACTATCTATCATATTACTTCACATCCCGTCTTTACTATTTTGGAGGAAGGACTCGCATTATTTTTACTAGCACCTGGTATATGTACAGGGTCACCCTGTGACTGAAGAAAAGGCCAATCTGATTTCTTGAAAAATGTGCAGAAAGAACTGTGACTCATTTAAATATGGACACCAGCTGGTATACGTACAATGCCATTGCAGCACATGTTATTCTGATCTAGAAATCGTGTTTCGTGGTCAAGCGGTGAACTAGAAGACAACTTGGATATACAATAAAAGGAAGAATCAACATGTTATTGTGAACTTGATGGCAATAAAAGACAGGTTATGTGCTACACAAAGCAAAAGAAGTCCTGAGATCAAAGGGAGGACGCCCTTCAAAGACAGGTAAGACAGGGAAGATCACAGTGTGTTGTTCTGTAGCTTAACTCTTAACACGGGCAAATGGGGCTGATCTCGACGACAAGCTGTCGAGACATCAAACGAAATACGTGAGTCCTATTTACAACTGATAGGGATATCATGTTGACAATGAACAAAAAAAATATTAAAAATATGAATGATATAAAATACATATTTATATAAACAAATCTATAATTGTTCTTCACATTTTTAATATTTTTCGGACACTGTCACATCAAAGGAAATTATGTTTCAGTTCAAGCGCTAAATATCAGTGTGAGTTTAGTTTTACGCCTCTCTTAGCAATAGTCCAGCAATATCACGGCGGGGGACATCAGAAATGGGCTTCACACATTGTGCCCTACACTAAGGCTTAGTCTCTGAATATATATAATTTTGATAGTAACAAACAAGCCCATTTATATTGAAAGGGAGCCCTAGGGAGACCAGAGCTTCAACCTGAGGGAATCTAGACTTGCTTTATTTAGGGCTTTAGCACTGCAGAGAGGGCTTGGCAGTAGGGAAAATAGTGTGGTTCAGTGACTGTGAGACAGACTAATTGTGCCCATCTGGGGAATCGAACCCGGGTCTTCGGCGTGACGACCGACCGCTTTAAATAACCACTATGTTACTCCACCGGCCCCGCTAAATATCAGGGGGAGGGGTGGTTGCTCCTAAATTGTTGAAACTGTGTTCCCTGGTAACAAAACCACTTGATGAATGAACAATTGATTTAATAAATGAATGTTTTTCTTCTGTGTGGTGAATGAATGGTCCCGAGATCCAAAGTATAAATTGTTATCACAATTCTGAATAACTGATTATTAGAATTACAAAACAAAATGTCGTTTGAAACGGTCTAGACCGGTTAATGCAATCCAGATTCGGCCAGGATGTACACAGTACATCTAATTTGGGTACGGGTCATCTTACATGTGGGGTAGCCTAGTGGTTAAAGCGTTGGCTCGTCACGCCAAAGAACCGGGTTCGATTCTCCACATAGGTACAATGTGTGGAACCCATTTTTGGTATCCCCCGACGTGATTTTGATAATAGCAACGCAAAACCATACTCACTCACTCCTAAACTCGGGTACAGATCGACCAATAAAGGTACAAGTGTTCCAAAACTGGTACGAATCTGACGAGACTTTTAAAGTACGGGTTAGCCATTTCCGTAGGGTATGAATCTCACGAGAGGCAGGACGTAACCCGAAAATGATGTTATGTGTGTGCCCAGCGGTAACAACCGATTTGCAACGACCAGGGGTGTGCAATGTGAAGAATCAGCTCGCAGTGACGACCTTGACGTGAAAGCACGTGTTTACTATTTGGACCCGGAAGTTGAGAGGTAAAGGGAGGTCATTCTCACAACAACAACAGCAACGCTTCAAGAAGGGATTACCAAAGTCGAGCACATTTGAACACTTTTGTGGAATGTAAAAGGATGATATAAGTACACGCCTCGGTGAGTATGACATGATAGTTTTATATTAAAATATAATCAAGAAACAAGGAGATATCATTCATTTTCTGTTCGGATTTCGAGGCCTGATCGAAACCCTTTGATTTAGGGTTTAGAGTGTATGGTTGGCCCTTACCTCAGATCAATGTGATACGATATATCACTGCCTGCCTATCTGAATTTATCATATTATAATAATCGGAGGGCGTTACTTATAGGGGCACTTATCCAGAGCGATTAATGTTTTGCGCCAACAATCGCCTCCTCGACCGTGACGGACACAGTGACTGGGCAACTGGGCAACCGAAACATTAGGACAATAGGAGCGGTTGAAGCCGATCAGATACCGTTATTTGCAAATTTCCACGGTAGTTCTTGTCTGATTGTATCCCAGGAGTGTATGCTTTGCTATTTTCTGATGCGTGGATGATGGAGTTTGTTTCTATGACTGATGCAACACCAGTATTGACTTATCAGATAAGGATGAAGTATAATATAACATTTCAAGCGTATGTACGCACATAAATTTTGTAAGTCTTACATATTATCATGCTCATGTTTAATAATAAAAATAACAAACCACATCACCAAGTCGCTCCCACAAAAACATGTCAGTACTCCTTCTAGATTCTCAGTACACCTCCACTTGCAATATGATGTGTAAGTACACCTGCACCCCCAAAAGTTATCTGGAGCCCTGTTATGATATTAAAAACACACATTTGATTGATTGATAAACTAAATAAACCTCACTTTGCCATTGCTAGAAATATCTGAGAATTTACTTAGGTAAATAGGTATGCTTATATATACTGTTTTTAACTTTAGTGCACAGCAAATATTTAAATGTATTTCTTATGCAACAATGAAGTTCCGTTTGTGTTGTACTACTTTTTTGCTGTAACCCATGTTTTGTGGTATAAATCTACACCTGTTTATTTGTCATCATTTACTTGATGGTCAGTTAATGAATTTATAACATGTATAATTAGTGGTAACACCATTTAGATTACCCGACAAAGGTTGCCATTTAACATTTCTTGTGTCTGGAGTAAATACTCAACATTATAAATTAAGGTCTGATGTGGCAAATGTATAGTATACTATGTAATATGTGCATATAATGCAGCAAGGGGAATTATCAGCTGAGGTAAAAAAACAAACATCGATCAAAGGATTTACGGATATTATGCTGATAAATTACTTATATCTTGCAAAACAGATTTGTCAAAAGGTAGTATTTATATATGTAGTATACTAAATACACTTTATCATAATGTGCCTGTGTAAAACCAATGTTCTTCAATATGTTGATTGATTGTTCATTGTTGTCTAACTATTACTTTCAAAAGAATTGTGGACATCATGCAAATAGTTGTCAGGTGTGCTATCTTGGGTGACCAATGAGACTATACACCTGAATGTGAAAAACCTGAATCAGTCACGAGACCAGTTGAGAAACTGTCACTAGTTATTTTTTTTTATTTTTTTTTTTTATTGTCATGTTTTTATTCCCAGAATTATGTTTACAGACTTTACCTCAGTAGTACAGTACAGTCCAGGTATCTTCTTAGTATGCAAGTACAGTGTTTCTTTTATCTCTTTGTCAAATAACATGCTGTTCACATATATATAAAAAAACAGTCAAAAACTAAACATGTATATGAAGTGTTACGTGTTTACAGATTTTAACTCGGTAGTACACAGTACAGTACAAATAGTTTCATTGTACACAAGTACAGTGTTTCCTTTGTCACTTACTGTAACATCATACTGTTCACAAATATGCAAAAAAGCATGTCATTGAAGTATTTACATGTTTACAGACTTTATCTCAGTAGTACAGTACAGTACAATACAGGTAACCTCATAGTACATAAATATGTAAAATGGTCAAACTAAGCATGTATATGAGATTTTAACTTTACCTCAGTGAGTACAGTACAGTTACCAGTACAACATAGTACACAAGTAGTGTTTCCTTGATCAGCATTGTACATAAAGTGTTTACAGTTACACAAATCTGTTGATAAAAGTTTAATTATTGGCAAATAATGTATACAATTTGAAAAAATCATGCTTCATAATATTTGATGACTTTCTGCTTTTAATATGTCTAATATTCAGAGTTTGCTTTTTCTGCTTCTTCTATAGATAGCTTCTTTTTCTGAGAGAAAAATTCATTTCACCCTCTGAACCAGTTCTAGAAGCTTCATTTTTTCTACTTCCTTCCATATCTTTTCACATGAAAGCATTAGAACAGCAGGTGTACCATGGTTTCCTGAATCTTGTCCACAGAATGTACATAAGTGTGATTCAGATATTCTCTATCTTGTACAAGAAGCTATTTGTACATCTATAAGACATCAGATTAATATTTTCTTGTTCTGATCTATCAATTATTTTATTCAAACACACATCTGTACTGAAGTCTCAGAGCAAATAAAATCTGATAAAACATTTTACTCACCCTTTTGTGTATTGATTATGCTGTATACATTAAATGGGAGAGTAGGATCATATATCCTTTCTTTGTAATCATTAATCAAACATCTTTTATGTATCTCGATATTGTTGACTTGAGCCCTTGATATAGGATAAAATTTGTTTCTAAATTATATGTTTCTACAAGTTTGTTAAAGGAATAGATTTCACCCTTTTCATTGAACATATCCTTAATAAAACGTATACCCTTTCCTATTCAGTGCCTATATTCAACCCATATGCCACCAATAGAGATATTAGAGTTGTACCATAATGATTGAGTCTTTATGTCTGACATATTTGTAATCTTATCATAGCATTTGGATAGATACAAACCCCATGCCGATACAACATCCTCCAAAAAAAATATTTGTAATGTATGGTAATAAAGTAGTGTTCATATATAAACAATCCAAAACCAACCATAGGGTATCTATTCCTGGGATAAAAGTTCCAGCATGTTTGACCCAATATGACTTATTGTGAAGTCTTTTTATCCATGATAGTTTTGTGATAATATAGTTGATTTAACATCAGGTACCTTAATTCCTCCATATTTAGGTGGTTGTGTCATGACACTTCTCTTGACCCTATCTATCTTACCACGCCATATGAAGTTAAATTCTTGGGGTATATTCTTGGTTTGTTATCCTTAGGCAAGATCTACTTTTTGGCCTTAATTAATTAAACCCTGTTTTTGAGTTACTGATAGAGGGAACCTACTTTTTTTATAAGCATAGTTAAGAGAACTTAAAAGGTACTTACAGTGTTTCCTCCCACTGTTTCTTCTAAGTCAATTTCACTAAGATTTCTTTCATTTTGTATACAATTTTTTGTAGAAGTTTTTAGTTTCTTCTAATATTTCTTCCTGTTTATTAATTACATTTCCAGCTTTTGTTTCAATTTGATTTATAGATTTTATTAAGGAAATTTCTAGCTCCATATGTAGGAAATATTTACTTGCTTTCTCTCCCTCCCTCTATCCATTTAGCTTTTTGACCTTACAAAGGAACCTTTGGTTTTTAATAAATTAATTTCTTCTAATATAATTCTTTTTACTAGTTCTTCTTTTCATACAAGTGACTACTTTCATCTAGTTGTATTTCTAATTTCTCAATGTCTTTTAGTTCATTTTCCTTACTCTTTTTTTTTTTGTAGCTGAGTACCAAATAGTAATTCCTCTTATTTCCATTATAATCATTTAATCGCAAAAGCAGCTGATCATTTATAGTGTATGTATTTTCACCCCTTCTCTGGTGTTTTATAAAGATTTATTACATTACCTGTATCTTTAACTTTTCTTATGTATTCTTTATCTTTAAGAGAGAGTTGTTAATATTTCCAAAACCTTTTCCCCTGCTTAACTCTGTTGTTGTTAATGTTATGGATATAAAGTGATCTGTACATATACTAGGAATTATTTTTGAATCTCATTATATCAGAAACTAAAAAAAAATCAAGGCGTTATGCTTGTTTAATAGGTGTGGGTTTCGCCAGGTAAATCTTAGACTACTTTAGGATGCATTTCCCTCCAAGGGATCCTTGAGGTTCATTATATCTACAATTTCTAATACTTCTTTCGAGGACCTGGGATTATTGATGTGTTTATAATTATATGTATCCATATCGCTATCCATGACTAAATTCCAATCACATGAAAAATAAATGTTTCAGTGTCATTCTTATTTGCTAGCTCTTCTGCCCTTTCCTTCACATGTTTGTAGAATTCAGGTTTGTCCAGCCATATCATTGAACAGAGTATAAATAAATTCATTTTTTTTTATATTTAACCCCACAAAGTTTCCTTCTTTGTTATCATATGTAGTATTTAAGACTGAAAATTCAAAGTTATTATTAAACAAGATAGCTGTCCCTCTTGCATTGCTAAGTGCTAATATAACATTCTTTATAGCATTGCTGTTTTATCAATTGTTCCTGATCTCTGGTAAAGTGGACATCCTGTAAACAGAATATTTGGGCTTTCTTCTTCCTTAGAAACCAAAACCTTTTTCTCTTCAGTGCATCCCCTACAGTTCATAGAAAATATCTTGAACTTTTTTATTACCTTCCATTTCAGTCATGTTCTATATTATATTTTATGTCTATATAGTAAGGATATGCAGATATTTTTCATATACACTGCATAATGCTTATTTTCTACCCTGTACATAAAATTATTGCTGGGATTTTTATGTGTACCATTTGGGAACTACTGAGTAACAAAAACATGAAGATGCAAAATATATCAAACAGTACTAGGAAATGGATCTCCATGGGTAACAGTCAAGTAGAAGCTACATACTCTCGACTCTTTTTTCACTAAATACGAACTTCAGGCGAATTTCATAAGTGAAATCGTATCTAACATATGTAGGTATATAATTCACATAAAATAAAAAACACTTTAACACCGGTCAGTGAAATATCTTTTGTTTACACTGTGTTACTTTCGCCATTTTCCTTCTTCACATCACATATAGAGTCACATGATCACTGAAGTCACGTGAGCACTGTCGGTG